TATATATATGTAGAATAAAGTACTATACATAGTACTTTATTCTCTCTATATATAGTACTTTATTCTCCATATATATAGCACTTTATTCTCCATATATATAGTACTTTATTCTCCATATATATATAGTACTTTATTCTCCATATATAGTACTTTATTCTCTCTATACATAGTACTTTATTCTCTCTATATATAGTACTTTATTCTCTATATATACAGCACTTTATTATCCATATATATAGCACTTTATTCTCCATATATATAGTACTTTATTCTCCATATATATAGTACTTTATTCTCCATATATAGTACTTTATTCTCCATATATATAGCACTTTATTCTCCATATATATATCACTATTCTCCACATATATATATAGCACTTTATTCTCCATATATATAGTACTTTATTCTCCATATATATAGTACTTTATTCTCCATATATAGTACTTTATTCTCCATATATATAGCACTTTATTCTCCATATATATAGCACTTTATTCTCCATATATATATTTCTATTCTCCATATATATATATATAGCACTTTATTCTCCATATATATAGCACTTTATTCTTCATATATATAGCACTTTATTCTCCATATATAGTACTTTATTCTCTACTAGCTGGAGTACTTGTCCCCTGGATGGAAGTTATGTAAATTCTTGATTAATGAAAGGTTATCTTACGACATGAAAAGTTGCTTCCCTTATATGTAGTTGTAAAAAACACCCATAAAAACTGCAAAACACAATGTGAAACCACAAATTTGCATGTATCTCTGCATGGATCAAACAAACTTCATGCCAAACTCGGTGAAGATCCATTTACAGGGGGCAAATTAGTGATAAAAACTGCAAAACTGAAAACTTGTATGTTTCCCCGCATGGACCTATTGAACCTCATACCAACTTTGGTGAAGATCCATCCACACCCTGCAAAGTAGTTACATGGACATACAACATACAGTAGTATTATATTCATATAGATTACAAAGTGCAAACCTGTTAGATTTGTGTGCTGATTTATATGTGATCTCCAAGGTAAATATGGAGATTCATTTCTCTGTAAAGCTTCACAAACATATTCATCAAGGAAGGAAAGTGTTGAGTCAATCTGCAAGAAAAGATTAACTAAAAATCATCATAAATGAAATTCATTCAGAAACAAATGTATAGCATTAGTAGAGACGTTTGAATTATGCTTTTAACATCTTCCTACCAGATGTATAGTCATCTGCTCAAATGGTTAGTATATAGCACATAGTTGCAACGTCATAACTATACAAGTTGAAAAAACTAAATATCAAAGAAGAATTCTATACTTTTATTCATAACTGTAATATTACAAACTAGAATAGAAAGAAATATGTATATGTATGTATGTATGTGTGTGTGCGTGTGTGT